AGACTCAAGAGAGGCTCGGTATAAAGGATTCTAATGAGCTCTTCGAGTTCGACTGTATGAAGGGTGGCTCCAAGAGCCCGGAGCTCATTAATACTATGGTTGAGCATTCTGGTCCTTCTGTTAACTGGCTTATGGATGTCTTCGGTCTCGATCTTTCTCTTCTATCTCGTCTGGGCGGTCACTCTGTAGAGCGTACTCATCGTGGTAAGGAGCGTTTCCCTGGTATGACCATTACGTATGCTGAGATGCAGATGGCTGAGGCTATTGCCAAGGCACATCCAGATAAGTGCCAGATTATCAACAAGGCGAGAGCTACTGAGCTCGAAACTGATAATGAAGGCAATGTTATCGGTGTCAAGTACGAGAAGGATGGTAAATCCTATGTTGTTGATGGCCCTGTTATCCTCGCAACTGGTGGATACGGTGCCGATTTCACTAAGGATGGTCTCTTGGCTAAGTACCGTCCTGACTTGCTCAAGTTGTCTACTACTAACGGAGAGCATTGCACTGGTGATGGTATCAAGATGGGTGTTGCTGCCGATGCTGATGTCGTTGATCTCGAGTGGGTACAGGTTCACCCTACCGGTCTCGTGAACCCCAAGGACCCTGACAGTAAGGTCAAGTTCTTGGCTGCTGAGGCTCTTCGTGGTGTTGGTGGAATCTTGCTCGATGCTGATGGTCATCGTTTCTCCAATGAGCTTGGCCGTCGTGATTATGTGTCCGATAGGATGTTCCACAACAAGGGTCCCTTCCGTTTGGTATTGAACACTGCTTCGGCCAACGAAATTCGCTGGCATGTTGAGCACTATAAGGGCCGTGGTGTCATGAAGGACTTCGACAGTGCTTACGATCTCGCTAAAGAAATGGGCATTCCGGCTTCTACCTTGGAGCAGACCTTCAAGGATTACAAGGAGGTTGCCAGTAAACAGGAGGCCAACCCCGATGGTGGTGAGTATGATGCTTACCCGACCGGCAAGACCTTTGATAAGTTCGGCAAGAAGTTCTTCACGAACTACGACTTCAAGATGGACGATCACTATAGCGTCGCCATTGTCACTCCTCTTGTTCACTACTGCATGGGTGGTCTCAAGATCGATACGGCCGGTCGCGTCATTAGCAAGGAGACGAAGAAGCCAATTCGCGGTCTCTATGCTGCTGGTGAAGTTATGGGAGGTGTCCATGGCAACAACCGTTTGGGTGGTAACTCCCTCCTCGATTGTGTTGTCTTCGGTCGCTTGACTGCTGACGATGCTTGTGAGGGTCTCCTTGGTCTCAAGAAGAGCGTCTCCCTGCCTGCTCTTGCTAAGGCACCTGCTAGCGTACCCAAGAAGGTTGCTCAAGCTAAGGTTGCTGCGGCTCCTGCTGCTCCTGTTGTACACGGTTACACTAAGGAGGAAGTCGCTAAGCACACCACTGAAAGTGATTGCTGGGTTATCATCAATGGCCAGGTCTTGAATGTCACGAACTTCCTTCCAGAACATCCTGGTGGAAAACTTGCCATCATGACCTTTGCAGGCAAAGATGCTAGTAAGGAGTTCAACATGATCCATCCATCTGATGTCATTGAGAAGTATGCCCCGGATTGTGTCCTCGGTCCTGTTGTTGACAAGGCTACTGCTGCTGCTGCTCCTGTTGCTCCGGCTGCTCCTGCTGCAGTGACGGTCACTCCGACAAATTCTGCTGCCGCTGGTAAGTCGTATACTATGGAAGAGATCTCGAAGCACAATTCCCGTGAATCTTGCTGGGTTGTGATCGATGGTGAGGTCTTGGATGTTACGGGTTTCTTGCCTGATCATCCTGGTGGAGATATCTCTATTCTCAACTATGGTGGTAAGGATGCTACTGAGCCCTTCCACGATATTCATCCTGCTGGTATCATCCAGAAGTACTGCCCTGACGCTGTCATCGGTGTCGTTGGAACCGGCTCAGCTGCCCCCTCAACTGTGTCTACGGCTCCTGCTTCTGCTCCAGCTCCCGCTGTCTCGGGGTACACTAAGGAAGAAGTGGCTAAGCATATCACCGAGAGTGATTGCTGGGTCATCATTAATGGCCAGGTCTTGAACGTCACGAACTTCCTCCCTGAACACCCCGGTGGAAAACTCGCTATTATGACTTTCGCGGGTAAGGATGCTACTAAGGAGTTCAACATGATCCATCCGGCTGATGTTATTGAGAAGTACGCTTCTGAGTGTGTTCTTGGTCCCGTTGTTGAGGCCAATTCTGCACCTGCTGTAGCAGCTACGAGTGCTCCGGCTGCTCCTACTGCAGTAACGACCACTCCGACAACATCTGGTGCCGCTGGCAAGTCTTACACTATGGACGAGATCTCGAAGCATAACTCTCGCGAGTCCTGCTGGGTTGTGATTGATGGTGAGGTCTTGGATGTTACGGATTTCTTGCCTGATCATCCTGGTGGAGATATCTCTATTCTCAATTTCGGTGGCAGAGATGCTACTGGGCCTTTCCACGATATTCATCCTGCTGGTATCATCCAGAAATATTGTCCCGACGCTGTCATCGGTGTCGTTGGAACCGGCTCGGCCGCCCCCTCGACTGCTTCTACGGCTCCCGCTTCTGCTGCTGCATCTGCGCCAGCTCCTGCTGTTTCTGGGTATACTATGGATGAGGTCGCTAAGCACACCACTGAGGATGACTGCTGGGTTGCTATTAACGGACAGGTCTTGAACGTCACGGACTTCCTCCCTGAGCATCCTGGTGGAAAGCTTGCCATCATGACTTTCGCCGGTAAAGATGCTACTAAGGAGTTCAACATGATCCATCCGCCTGATGTTATTGAGAAGTATGCTTCTGAATGTGTTCTCGGTCCAGTTATTGAGGGCAAGTCTGCTCCTGCTCCTGTTGCATCGACACCTGCTCCTGTTGCTTCAACCCCCGCCCCTGCTCCCGTTGCATCGAAGCCTGCCCCTGCTACAAGCACTGCCGCTTCCACACCTGCGCCTACTCCTGTGGCTCCCGTTGTTGCAACTTCTGCTGCTGCGAGCGGTATCACAATGGACGAAGTCGCCAAACATACGACTGAGGATGATTGCTGGGTTGTCATCAATGGTGAGGTATTGGATGTCACAGACTTCCTCCCCAAGCATCCTGGTGGAAAGATGGCCATTCTTACTTTTGCTGGTAAGGATGCATCCAAGGAGTTCAACATGATCCATCCGGCTGGTGTGATTGCGAAGTATGCTCCCGACGCTACTTTGGGACCACTTGTTGAGAAGACTGCCGGTCCTGCAGCTGCTGGTGGCGACTTGTCCCAGCCTCTTCTTGCTGACCAGTTTGAGTCCAAGGCTCTCACTGAACAGTGGTGGGGTGAGGATCGTAACAAGTCGGACATGTTCGGGCCACTCGGACCATCCATCAGCTCCTACGCCATCTCTCTCTGCTACCTGATTTGGATGTTCGTCATTGACACTCTCAAGACTATCTTCAGTGTCAAGAATTACAAGGTCCTGTCTGATAAGTCTGGGTTACAGCGTTCAGCTATTTTCATGATGGTCTTCGTCACTATTCATGCTCTCGGTAACATCAACCTGTTGGTTGGTGATAGGAATTTCGAGGGTTATGCTTATCTCTTGAACCATCCTTGTCCTTGGAGTACACTATTCCTCCCTGTTGAGATTTATCTCTTGCTCGCCGGAATTCTTCATGTTGTTGTGGCTACTGTCCGTACCTTCAAGTTCAAGTCTATGAACTCGTCGTTCCGCGACTTGGAGATGTTCATCACTGGTTGCATTCTGCTCATCTTCCTCATTGTGCATCTTATCCAGTTCCGTTTCGTTTCGGAGGCCTCGGCACCTAAGTACTGGATGCGTGATAACTGGTTCCCTTGTGCTGATGATGATACAAGTTGTCCGATCATTCACTTCAAGGATCTCTACAAAATGGCGTTCCAGATCTTTGAGAGCTTCGGTTGGGTGTGCTTCTATATCGTTGGCGTTATTGCTTTCTTCATTCATATGAAGAGTGGTCTCAGTCGTGTCATCATGACGAACGGCAATATCCCGAGGAAGTACAAGAGCACTACCCAGTTCTGGGGATCAGTTATGTCCTGGGTGCTTTTCCTTTTATACCTTACATATCCTCTCTTCGCCTACTTCAACCCTGTCAAGGACTGGGCTGCGTATGATGCGAAGCAGATTCGTCCAAAATTTTGAATGATTCACTAGTAGTTCCACAGCCTTAGCTCATTTTTCCACGATTAGTTGTGCCCGTTTGAGGACCATATAAATGTGGGTTCTCTGCGGAACTATGTTATAAACTTTGTTCAGATGAAGGATATATGCTGTGGTGTTGTCTAAGTATTGGTTCGGTTAGTTTGCTACAATTGATAAAGCTAGTAAGATTCATCCCTCTGGATCATTAATTATGCTATCTTGAATCATACCTCGATAGCATTATCGATCCCACAACCACGTGGCAGCATAGGGTGGCCAAATCGTAGGCGCACGATCTGGGAAACTCAATCGATTCGCGACGGCCGAATGGAGTCGGCCGATTCCACTGGGGGGTAGATATGCCATTTTAGTAGCGGGGAAGATATGCCGTACCGGGGCAGATATGCCGTACTGGTAACGGGGCAGATATGCCGTACTGGTAATGGGGTGGTTATGCCAGGTTGGTGGCGGAGCAGTTATGCCCCATATGTAGCGGAACCTATATGCCATATTGGGGTGTTGTATAGTACTTAACGTTGAAATCAAGATATGGCATATCTGCCCTGGTATCTTGTGATGGCATGCTTGTTCGTTGGGTGGAACTGCTCTTGCTAATGGCGACAGGGTGTAGATTGATGTGCCAGCCTTGTCGTTCTCTGCGTCCCAGGTCAGCGGCATATGGAGGACGAAGCACGAGGAGTGGCCTATAGATCACTAGCGGCTGAGAAATAAGCCTCTAGCCATCGTCGGTTCATCAGGAGCAACCATGATATTTGATTGAGTCATGGATATCTCATTGCAGGATATAAAGCTTGTTGGATTTTAAAGTATGGTTTGTGGTGTTACGAGTTGAGAGTCAGAGGGCAGCTAATTATTCGAGCGAGAGAAAGCTTGCCATCTCACGCGTCATTGATCCGCATTCCACTCAAGATAGATATAACACTCAGTAGAAAAAGAGGGTCCCTGACCATCAGCATGCTCGGAGTTTCAAAAACTAAGATACTACATGGCCGTGACTTTGCACAGCCAGATGTAGTATTTCAAGGACATACGATACTAGGAGAATGGACTCCATGTAAAAACGAAGGTAACTCGCTCCATACACAAGTCGAGCTAAGATTCCACTATAGCTCTGTCGCTTCACTAGCCCGGGATGTCGAAGAGCTGTGGTTTCTCATGAACCTGTCATACTTGTAGGCTTGTTTTCCCTGGAGTTTCTATTCTGAATTTGGTAACCTACTACATTCATCTCAGTTTTTTTTACACAAGTGATGTCCGAGGCGTCTTGCAACCAAGTTATCGTCGTCGGCGGTGGCCTCGCAGGGTTCTCTGCTGCTAATAGTATTTTAGAGCATGGTGGAAGCGTACTGCTTATTGATAAATCTGCGTTTTGCGGTGGCAACTCCTCCAAGGCTACTTCTGGCATCAATGGTTCGTGCACCAGAACTCAGAAGAAGCTCGGTATCAAGGATTCGAACAAGTTGTTCGAATTCGACTGTATGAAGGGTGGCTCCAAGAGTCCTGAGCTTATTAATACCATGGTTGAGCATTCCGGCTCCTCGGTTAACTGGCTTATGGACAACTTCGACCTCGATCTTTCTCTTCTATCTCGTTTGGGTGGTCACTCTGTTGAGCGTACCCATCGTGGAAGGGAGCGTTTCCCTGGTATGACTATCACTTACGCTGAGATGCAGATGGCAGAGGCTATTTCCAAGGCTCTACCTGATAGATGCCAGATCATCAATAAGGCCCGTGCTACCGAGTTGCTCACCAACAAAGAAGGTGACGTGATTGGTGTTCTGTATACGACTAACGATGGTCAATCACATAAGGTTTACGGTCCGGTCGTCCTCGCAACTGGTGGATACGGTGCCGATTTCACTAAAGATGGTCTTTTGGCTAAGTACCGTCCTGACTTGCTCAAGTTGTCTACTACTAACGGAGAGCATTGCACTGGTGATGGCATCAAGATGGGTGTTGCAGCCAATGCTGATGTCGTTGATCTCGAGTGGGTACAGGTTCATCCTACTGGACTCGTGAACCCCAAGGACCCTGATAGTAAGGTCAAGTTCTTGGCTGCTGAGGCTCTTCGTGGTGTTGGTGGAATCTTGCTCGATGCTGATGGTCATCGTTTCTCAAATGAGCTTGGTCGTCGTGATTATGTGTCCGATAAGATGTTCCACAACAAGGGTCCCTTCCGTTTGGTATTGAACACTGCTTCGGCCAACGAAATTCGCTGGCATGTTGAGCACTACAAGGGCCGTGGTGTCATGAAGGACTTCGACAGTGCTTACGATCTCGCTAAGGAGATGGGCATTCCGGCTTCTACCTTGGAGCAGACCTTCAAGGATTACAAGGAGGTCGCTGAAAAGCAGGAGGCCAACCCCGATGGTGGTGAGTATGATGCTTATCCGACCGGTAAGACCTTCGATAAGTTCGGCAAGAAGTTCTTCACGAACTACGACTTCAAGATGGACGATCACTATAGCGTCGCCATTGTCACTCCTCTTGTTCACTACTGCATGGGTGGTCTTAAGATCGACACGGTTGGTCGCGTCATCAGTAAGGAGACGAAAAAGCCGATTCGTGGTCTCTACGCTGCTGGTGAAGTTATGGGAGGTGTTCATGGCAACAACCGTTTGGGTGGTAACTCCCTCCTCGATTGTGTTGTCTACGGCAGAATTACCGGAAAGGACGCCTGTAAGAATTTCCTTCCTGCTCGAGAAGACGTGCCTCTGAAGGATCTTGCCCTCGGTCGTACGAAGCCCAACAAGCGTGCCATTATTGTTGGTGGTGGTTTGGCTGGTTTCAGTGCCTGCAATTCGATCCTTGAGCACGGTGGCAGCGTGTTGTTGCTTGATAAGTCTGCTTTCTGTGGTGGTAACTCGTCCAAGGCCACTTCTGGTATCAATGGATCTTGCACTAAGACTCAGAAGAGACTTGGCATCAAGGATTCCAATGAGCTGTTCGAGTTTGATTGCATGAAGGGTGGTTCCAAGAATCCTCAACTCATCAAGACCATGGTTGAAGCTTCTGGCCCTTCCGTTGACTGGTTAATGGAGAACTTCGATCTCGATCTCTCTCTACTTTCCCGTTTGGGTGGTCATTCCGTTGAGCGTACCCATCGTGGAAAGGAGCGCTTCCCTGGTATGACTATCACTTATGCCGAAATGCAAATGGCCGAGGCTATCTCCAAGGCCCTGCCTGATAGGTGCCAGATCATGAACAAGGCTAGGGTGACCGATCTCATCACTGGGGATGACGGTGAGGTCATTGGTGTTCGCTACACTAAAGATGGCAAGGAACGTTCCGAGTTCGGTCCTGTCATTCTTGCAACGGGTGGTTTCGGTGCTGATTTCTCGAAGGATGGACTACTCGCCAAGTATCGTCCCGACTTGCTCAAGTTGTCCACTACCAATGGTGAGCACTGCACTGGCGATGGAATCAAGATGGGTGTAGCGATTGGTGCTAAGGCAATTGATCTCGAGTGGGTACAGGTTCATCCTACCGGTCTCGTGAACCCCAAGGATCCTGACAGTAAGGTCAAGTTCTTGGCTGCTGAGGCTCTTCGTGGTGTTGGTGGAATCTTGCTCGATGCTGATGGACATCGCTTCTCCAATGAGCTTGGTCGTCGTGATTATGTGTCCGATAAGATGTTCCACAACAAGGGCCCCTTCCGTTTGGTATTGAACACTGCTTCGGCCAACGAAATTCGCTGGCATGTCGAGCACTACAAGGGCCGTGGTGTCATGAAGGACTTCGACAGTGCTTACGATCTCGCCAAGGAGATGGGCATTCCGGCTTCTACCTTAGAGCAGACCTTCAAGGATTACAAGGAGGTTGCTGAAAAGCAGGAGGCCAACCCCGATGGTGGTGAGTATGATGCTTATCCGACCGGCAAGACCTTCGATAAGTTCGGCAAGAAGTTCTTCACGAACTACGACTTCAAGATGGACGATCACTATAGCGTCGCCATTGTCACTCCTCTTGTTCACTATTGCATGGGTGGTCTCAAGATTGATACTTCTTCTCATGTCATTGGCGAGGGCGATAAGCCTATTCGCGGCCTTTACGCTGCCGGTGAGGTCATGGGAGGCGTTCACGGCAACAACCGTTTAGGTGGCAATTCTCTACTCGATTGTGTTGCCTATGGTCGTATCTCCGGCAAGGATTTGATGGATACTTTCTTCCAAACTGCCAAGCCTGTAGCTTTGAAGGATTTGGCTACTGGAAGAACGGAGCCTCGTAGACCTGCGATAGTTGTTGGTGGTGGTCTTGCAGGTTTCTCTGCCGCTAACACCATCTTGGAACGCGGTGGCGAAGTTATCCTCATCGATAAGTCTGCCTTCTGTGGTGGTAACTCGTCCAAGGCCACTTCTGGTATTAACGGTTCTTGCACTAAGACTCAGAAGAGACTTGGCATCAAGGATTCCAATGAGCTGTTCGAGTTTGATTGTATGAAGGGTGGTTCCAAGAATCCTCAACTCATCAAGACCATGGTCGAAGCGTCTGGTGCTTCCGTCGAATGGTTGATGGATAACTTCGATCTCGATCTTTCTCTACTTTCTCGTTTGGGTGGTCATTCCGTTGAGCGTACCCATCGTGGAAAGGAGCGCTTCCCTGGTATGACTATCACCTATGCTGAAATGCAAATGGCTGAGGCAATCTCCAAAGCTCTGCCCGATAGGTGTCAGATCATGAACAAGGCTCGTGCTACTGAGCTTGTTCAGAATGACAAGGGTGATGTTGTTGGTGTGAAGTATGAGAAGGGTGGCAAGACATATACGTTGGAGGGACCTGTTATCCTCGCTACCGGTGGTTATGGTGCCGATTTCTCTAAGGATGGTCTCTTAGCCAAGTACCGTCCCGACTTGCTCAAGTTGTCCACTACCAATGGTGAGCATTGCACTGGTGATGGAATCAAGATGGGTGTTGCGGTTGGTGCCCAAACTATTGATCTCGAGTGGGTACAGGTTCATCCTACCGGTCTCGTGAACCCCAAGGACCCTGACAGTAAGGTCAAGTTCTTGGCTGCTGAGGCTCTTCGTGGTGTTGGTGGAATCTTGCTCGATGCTGAGGGTCATCGCTTCGCCAACGAGCTTGGCCGTCGTGATTATGTGTCCGATAAGATGTTCCACAACAAGGGTCCCTTCCGTTTGGTATTGAACACTGCTGCGTCTGACGAGATTCGCTGGCATGTTGAGCATTACAAGGGCCGTGGTGTCATGAAGGAGTTCAGCAGTGCTTACGATCTCGCTAAGGAGATGGGCATTCCTGCTTCTACCTTGGAGCAGACCTTCAAGGATTACAAGGTGGTTGCTGATAAGCAGGAGGCCAACCCCGATGGCGGTGAGTATGATGCTTATCCGACCGGTAAGACCTTCGATAAGTTCGGCAAGAAGTTTTTCACGAATTACGACCTCAAGATGGACGACCACTACAACGTCGCTATTGTCACTCCTCTGGTCCATTACTGTATGGGTGGCCTCAAGATTGATGAGTTCTCTCATGTTCTTGGTAAGGAGGACAAGCCTATCCGTGGTCTGTATGCTGCCGGTGAATTGATGGGTGGTGTTCACGGCAACAACAGATTGGGTGGTAACTCTCTTCTGGATTGTGTTGCTTACGGCCGTATTTCTGGTAACAACCTCATCGACACTTTCTATCCTAAGTGCGAGCGTGTTCCTCTGAAGGATCTTGAGGATGGTCGTACTGAGTCTCGTAAACGTGTTATTGTTGTTGGTGGTGGTCTTGCTGGTTTCTCTGCCGCTAACACTGT